GTGCCTGTTGCTACCTACGAGTAGAGTCGTCTGGAAGAACAAGTACGGTACTAGACATCATGATTACAACAGTGGGCCTCGGAGTCTCAACATCAACAGCCAGTGAAGTATCGTGCCTGTTGCTACCTACGAGTAGAGTCGTCTGGAAGAACAAGTACGGTACTAGACATCATGATTACAACAGTGGGCCTCGGAGTCTCAACATCAACAGCCAGTGAAGTATCGTGCCTGTTGCTACCTACGAGTAGAGTCGTCTGGAAGAACAAGTACGGTACTAGACATCATGATTACAACAGTGGGCCTCGGAGTCTCAACAATTTTAACTGACGCTAACTAACGCACATAATCTGGTGGAGGTCTGAGATTACTCTCTTATGACCCCGGCTAGTACACAGTGGTACTAGCCATATGTCTGAATATTGACCAGTTTTTTTTTTCTCTAATCTACTCAAAGGGAGAGCCCGCCGAGGAAAACTGTCTTCTTCGCTTTGGGAGAAAGACGTTTCGACGTGCTAAATTGATCGATGGAGTCTTAGATCTAAAAAGAAGACACGTGAGGGACATGACGCGCAAATAATGACGGACATCCATTGGCTTAGCACTGTATTACAACATCCTTAATTTTCAACATCACATAGAAATGTCCTTAATTTTCAACATCACATAGAAATGTCCTTAATTTTCAACATCACATAGAAATGTCTTTAATTTTCAACATCACATAGAAATGTCCTTAATTTTCAACATCACATAGAAATGTCATTAATTTTCAACATCATATAGAAATGTCCTTAATTTTCAACATCACATAGAAATGTCCTTAATTTTCAACATCACATAGAAATGTCCTTAATTTTCAACATCACATAGAAATGTCCTTAATTTTCAACATCACATAGAAATGTCCAAAATAAGGGCTTGTTTGCTAACGACGGAATATAACCATTATTTGCATCCTTGTAACATAACGTTTGTGCCGCCATCTTGATTTAACTGTCCGTTAAAAAAAGAAGAAAAGTTCCATATGATATGAACTATATAAATACGGTCTCCACCAAAATTCTGATTTATAAAATATCAATTTCAGAAATGTAAGGGTGTTGAATTCCAGCTTTGTAGTTTTCCTTGAACCAGGTATATTAGCTACTCGGGATGCTCAACTAGTGATGTAGTAATGTGGGGAAGTGGGTCAGACCATTTAACCCACAAATATATTAACTTTAAAAAAAAATTGTTAATATATATTTCTAAAAAAAGAGACTGTCAATGAACTCCTTGCTCTGACTTCTATACAAATATTTGAGACATAAAGTATTTAATGTTTTGTGAAAGCGATCCGAATGTCCTACTGAGAGTTCGGCCGATACCATTTTTATTCCCCTCTTCCCCAGCAGAGAGCCGAATCAACCGAATCGAGGGAATCCCTATCATTCCCACAATGTGTGTCCATCAAGAAGTCACTGAACCGATAAGTGTACCTGTGTGAGCCAACGATTCGTCGAGAGATTTGCACTCGACCAGTTGATGGATGCAGAATTTTATTGAACGTTTTTTTTTGGTCAAGGTCTCTTCTATTATCACCTGCTAGATTTGACACTTTCCCCATTCAATCTAGCTGTGTATATTCAATCTAGCTGTGTCTGTTCAATCTAACTGTGCCTATTGAATCTAGCTGTGCCCATCTAATCTAACTGTTCTTATTCAATCTAACTGTGCCTATTCACTCTGCCTGTTTCTATTCAATCTAACTGTCCCTATTCAATCTAACTGTTCCTATTCAATCTAACTTCCTATTTAATCTAAATGTGGGTATACAATCTAACTGCGTCTATTGAATCGAACTATGCCTATTCCATCTAACTGTGACTATCCAGACGCCCTCATATTATATGCCATCAGATTAGCACAGATCAATATGAGTGGTGCTAATCTAACCATATCACTTAAGCCTGGTATTGTGACATGCTCTTTATCTGATCAAACCCTCGAGGCTAATTTTTTAAAAAAAAATTACGAAAGGCATTTTCTATTGGCATTTTTTACCTTCTCGGTAAAACGTGGAGCTCAATGAATAATGATCACAAGATCATATTATCTGTATTGGACTCATTATCTTATGAATTGTCAATCAATATCATTCTCTGTGTATGAGAGGAGGCATCTTGTAATAATGAGTTCAATAGCGTGCAAAATAAAATTCCCGATAACTGTGCTGAATGAAATTCTTAAAAATGCCGCGAGTGCATTTGGTGCGTAATGTTTTCTTTCTTTTTTTTTGTTTACATTAAAAGTCTCAATATAAATAGTATGTAATAAATGTGCGGTGTAAAAGGTGTGGGACATTAGAATGTGAATATAGTTAAGGGGCGTAAAAAATTATCATTAAAAAAAATAGAATGACCCGAATTTTCTTTTACAAATTGAATTTATTTTCGTTTAAATTGGATAGAACAAGGTGTTGAATTCATCGACCCAGTGAGTTATGAAACTCCGCTAAGGCCGGTCCCAAGCCCGGGTGCAAAAGGAGGAGGGTTGGCGTGAGGCCAGCTAGGAGGATGGTTGGCGTGAGGCCAGCTAGGAGGAGGGTTGGCGTGAGGCCAGCTAGGAGGAGGGTTGGCGTGAGGCCAGCTAGGAGGAGGGTACCGCACTCCGGTCGATCCTCCTCCCAACCGCACTCCGGTCGAAGGAGGAGGGTTGGCGTGAAGCCAGCTGGGAGGAGGGTTGGCGTGAGGCCAGCTAGGAGGAGGGTTGGCGTGAGGCAAGCTAGGAGGAGGGTTGGCGTGAGGCCAGCTAGGAGGAGAGTTAGCGTGACGCCAGCTAGGAGGAGGGTTGGCGTGAGGCAAGCTAGGAGGAGGGTTGGCGTGAGGCAAGCTAGGAGGAGGGTTGGCGTGAGGCAAGCTAGGAGGAGGGTTGGCGTGAGGCTAGCTACCTCACCCGTAAAAACAAATTGCTACAGAAGCGTCAACAAGAAAAAACCAACA